TAATACTAGAAAAAAAAGTTTAAAAAAATACAAGAAAAATAAAAAAATAAGAATACAAGACAAATAACAACTCTTCTATAATTATAAAAAGATTAAAAGCCTGTAATATTTATTGTGCTTTATCATGTAGCTTTTCTAAAAACCTTTTTTTTGTTCTAAAAATATTCTGACAAATTACCCCCCTCAAAATCTTTTAATCCTCCAATCCCAGATTACGTGTTAAATACTTGAGAGATAACTAATAAATTAACTTTTTAATCAAGATTTTTACAAAAAAAAAAAATCTTAAATAAAATAGATATAAAAAACATGAGAGACTAAAAGAATTTGAACTTGATAGTAAGTAAAACTCAAGATAACAAACATGCCAGATTCCTACATGAATAAATCTTAAGAATAAGGATATCATGCAACAAGAACAATCCAGCTCTACTGGTGCTTGGCTAATCTCAAGGAGCAAATTTGTCTACTGCCCATGTTGCTGGCTAAGGATTCTAGTCATGCATGACTTCTGTTTGTTTGAGGGGCTTGTTCAAGCAACCCGACTTAATTTAACCTCCCTATAACCTGATTTGTCATGATTAATGTAAAAAATCAGGAAGAGAAACCAACAACTTAATTCAATCCTACGTAATGTTATCCTCGTGCTGCCTGTTATCACATATCGAATAAAGATTTGGCATCTATATATATATAGCTGCTGTGCCCTCTTTACTCCATTGCTAGAGACGAAAGAGTTTCTATTTTTTCTACTTCTGACTTCTCAGCATGTGTTGCCTCTCTTGAAATGAGCAAGAAATCAACTAGTAGGCATTTATAATCTTTCGAAAAAGGATATGATGTTTGACAGTTGAGTGCAGGCTATATACAGCAGATGTACTCTGCATGCACATATCACTCTTTACTTTGCTGGGTACTCCATGTTAGGATTCTTGATATCGACTTCTCCACTGCGCCTACTACCTCTTGAATTCCCAGCCAACAGGGAGTTCATGATTCATGTGAATAGTTTCTGAATCATTTTGTCCAGAAATACATGGAAACAATTAATTAATTAAATCAAGATTTATGAAAATATCTCTCTGCGATTTGCTAATTTACAAACTTTTGCACTGTAGTAAAGATGCATGGTCTATACACACACACACACACCGTCTTCTCTTGTGTTTTCGTTTATCCCATCACACAATCAAGCCCGAGGAGATGCTTCGGACATGGCGTGGAGCATGTAGGAAAGGGTAAAAAGGACAGGGAAAGCAACAACAAGAGAGAAAAAGGGAAAAGTTTTCTTCTTGTTCACGTGTTGTTTTTTACCCCATGTTTTTTCACCTTCCAATCATGAGTTCCACTCCTATTAACCCCACCATCTTTTTTAATTAAAATTAAATTAGTGCTAGATTGTGATTAATCATGAAATTTTCAAATATAAAGGCTTTTACTTAAATAGTACATGCAAGTCTCAATAATTCCATTTTGTTTTCGTACTAGATTTTTTTATATAAAAAATAATGTTAATTTTAAAATAAGTTAAAGAAAAACAATACTAGTTATTATAAACTTGTAACAATGCTAATTAGAATTGAGCCAACTAAGAATATCTCACTATACTCATTATTTAAATTATATAATTGAAATAACTTGATAAAAAATAAAAAAATTATAAAAAAAGAATTATTATTTTTAAAATAAAAAAATTATAAAAAAATAATTATTTTTTAAAAAAAAACTCATGTTAACTTTTCAAATTTATGATCCAAGTCATTAAAAACCTTAAAGTTCAATTAAAAAAATTTAAAAATAAAATTTAAAAAATCAATTTAATAAAAGATTTTTTTTTAAAAAAATGAATCTTAAATTGACAAAAAAAATTAAAAAAATAATGAAGCTTAAATTGACAAAAAAAATTTAAAAAATGTTGCGATTAAATGTTAAAATTAAAAAGAACAATAACTTTTACAAAAAGATCAAGAAAAAAATTAAAAATTCAAATAATAAGGACCAAATTAAAAAATATAATACCAATAACTTGAATTTAAATAATTAAATTGAATACCAAAAAAATTTTTAGAAAAAGACCAAGATAAAAAAAATATAAATTTAAATAAAGAGAACTTAATTGAAAAATATAATATTTAGTAAATTAAAATTTAATATTGAAATTAAATACAAATAATTTTTTTTATAAAAGATTCAAAATAAAAAGAATAGGGATTAAAGTTAAAATATCAATAACTAAGAGGGTCAAACTATATTTTTTTAGGGAGAATTGAGAGAAGAAGAAAAAAAAAGGAAAGGTTTGTCTATAATAAACCGAACCACTACCTAAAACATGGGTCAAACTAATAAAAAAAAAACATGACAACATTTCTAATAAGATGATAAAATAATATTTTTAGAAGTTAGAAGGCATTGCTCACACCACATGAAAGGTGCGGGCAACTCCCATGAATTCTAGGTGTGCTACATTAGCACGCTTTTTTTATTATTTATTTAAATATAAAAATACCCTTAAGCTAACTTTTTAATTATAAAAAAATAAAAAATAAAAAACACCCTTGACCTTGGGCTTTATTCTTTTATTTTAAAGGTATTTTTTATTTTTTTACTATATATTATAACTGTTTATTATTTTTATATTTCATCAAATATCAAATTACCCCTCAATTTAAATTTTAATAACATAAAAACCTTTGCTAAAATATAAAAATACCCTTGAGTTATAAAAAAGTTTTCTTTTAATGATATTATGGTAATTTTATTGTTAAATCACGATAAAAAAATATTTATTTATCCTGATTAATTTAATAATAACAAATAAATTGATTGAAAACCAATGAAATTTTTTTTGAATAGAAAGATAGAACTATTATACTATTCTAGTAAATACTATCAATATATGTGTACAATAATTTTTGTTAATGGTAAATAATAAAATAATAATATAAAATCAATTTTTAACTTTATCCATAACCTTTTTTTTAATTTGGCTGAGTAATTCTTTGATATTTCCCTTCAACTAGTTTTTCTAGTTGCTCAAAACTTTTATCAAGAAGTCATTAATTGAATCCAATCATTTCGATACACAACAATATTGACGATACCCTTCTTTGATTACTTTTTGTGTGGCTATGAACTTCAATTATTGTTATAAGCCTAAGTAGTGAAAAATAAATATATATATAAAAAAAAAAACAAGAAGAAGAAGAGAGGGAAGCTTCCTGAACGGTGGTGTGGCTACGGGCTAGTTGTTCGTATTGATTTGAAAACTTTTATGTAACAAGACCCACGCCAAGTGATTTTAGTTAGAATAAGTTTTTATAGTAATAATTTTAAAATAATAATAATAATAATAATAATAATAACAATTCTTCAAAGAGTCTATATATTCTAGGTGTGAGTTAGAAGAGACTTAGCACGCAGGCGTATAGACCCGCTCATGTGAATCTATAACTAAATATGTAGGTTTGACTTTAGCGTCTAGGATATGATAGCTTTAATATTGGGTGTTTATAATCCGGGCTTGCGGTTCAATATGCTCCCATCAAAATTTATATTGATCATTTTATTTGAAATCATCCTTTCAATGTCGAATATATCTTAATAAAAACACAATTTTATCTTCTTCTTATAGTCTTTATAACTCATTATCATAAGAGCAACTCTATTAAGTCTTTATAACTCATTATCATAAGAGCATCATTATATTGCTTAAATTTATATTGTAAATTTATATTATTTTATATTTGAGTAAATATTTAGATAAGCAATAAGAGAAACACTAAATTCTTTTAATATATCATGTAATTTGCGCCAAATTTGAATTAGAAGTTTTATATAAAAATATTTAAAGATTAGAGAATAATATAAATTATATTTTGAAATCTTACTTAATAACTTAAATTTTTAGATAAAATAAATCTTACTTAATAACTTAAATTTTTAGTTATTAAATTTTTAGATAAAGTAATTTTTTAACACAGATAATACTCTGCAACAGGCATCCAGCATTAGTAATGCTTACAATTTAGTGTTGAAAGTTCTTATTGCAAAAGCTGGATGCTGATTTACAGCCACAATGGGCAGCCAGGGAATTTCATTATTTTCTCCCATGGGCTAAAAATAGTGAAGGAGAGGAGGGGTTGGAATCCTTGATGTCATGATGTGCGAATGTTTCACGTGCACAAGGCAGGAGAGCAATAAAGAATACGATTCAGGTGAATCCAAGCAAAATTCTCCAGCTAGATTGGGTCCATCAAGAAGAATCTGAAGCTTCAATTTTTAAGCAAAATTATGGAATACGGGAAAGTTAAATTCAGATTGAATTAATCTACTATCTTATTCTAATTTCAAAGTTGTGTTTAATTTAGTGTTCTATGATAAAAAACTAAGACAAAAATAAAAACATAAAATAAATTTGTGTCTCTGTAATAATTTTGACGTGAAAGATACAGAACAACCTAAACATGGGACTCATCCCCATCAACACTGACTCGTGAATGTGTTTTCATGTTCTCCAGCATCACTCATGAGGTTTTCAAGATTTTATCATTTGTGGTCTATCAATGATTTGTATGGCATTTTCTTCCTTTGCATCATGTCGTCTCACGACCACAAGTAAAATCAGTAAATCTTTTTGACGGAAAACTATCAAAAGAAAGGCATGGTCCCCGAATTGTCTCTACCAGAAAATTTGGCAGTTTTTTTTTTTTGGCCCCCATGTGACTGGAGAAATGCTTGGTTACTGGTATCAGCATTATGATTATTGTTGTTTTGATGGGAAGACGTCGAGATTTCTTTGAATTTAAAAACAATCAGAACTAGGAGGAGGAGGAAGGGTCACTGTGGTTTATAAACCATTATTCATGCAGCCCTTGCATATCCTAGATAAAATACTTGAGCATATGCAGATCAATAACTACAAAATGTTGTTCAAAAAAGAAATTGTTGCTGAGTTTAACGTTTATAATGAAATGAACAGAGATGTTTTGTACAGCAAGGAAGCATCAAATTTGAATTCAAAAGTCTGTATATCATGTGACTTTTTCCAGTGTCTTGCAGTGGAAAGTCCTTGATTAACAATCAGCACAAATCTTCTCCATTTTTGCTGTCAAAACTCCTTAATATAAATCAATTATGGCACTTCCAATATGCCATTCAAAATGTTTGCAACACAAACAGAAGAGTGTATCGCTTATTAGAAAAGCAGGGCATGGTCTTAGCAGAAACTATAGTACAGAAAACCGAAAGTTTGATCAAACCTACGAGGACAAAATGCCAAAGAATGGTGCTGTAATGAAACCCCACATTTCTTGCCTTCCGTGTTCTTTCCCTCTTCTTCTTCTTCTTCTTCTTCCTTTCATATCCTTTGCTTGGATGCCCCTTTAACAAGTCCAAGAAGATGATCTCTTGAGCACAGGATTCATTTGCTTGTCCTCTTCCAAAGATATCATCCCCAGGTGTGAAGGGTCCTCCAGCATCATCTTTGCCACCAAGTATCCAGCAATTGACCATGTCTGATATTTCCTTGCCTGTTTACCAATGTATCTGCCAAGTTTCCCATCATAATATTCGGGCCAGCTGTCTTTCAGTAGACGGGTCTCAGCAAGGTCAATCGCTTTTCTTGCGATTTGGGGTCGTCCCGTTTTGATGCACGCAGCAGTCAGCAACCATAAAAGCACTGAAAGGAAAAGGGAAAAAAAAATATGGTGCAAAACAAAAGGACATGTTATGTACATACACATTATTTATTCTCTGCATATTATGTGAGAAAGACTTTCAAAATAAGTTAAAGAGATTCAGAAATAACAAACTGAAGGAAGTCATTGCTAAAATTTCTTAAGGAAGAGATTGGAGGCTTTTACCTCATGAAAACAAAGGAAATAGATTGTGCAGTGCCATTTATAGTAACTTGAATTCAGCTCCATTACACTTGTGTCTAAATCATTACAGTGAATGAGTGAGCAGCTTATCCTACTATTGGAAATTTGTTTACTGTATGCCCTTATGAACATATAAATTTATCTATCACAACCAATGCAGGCTACTTGCATGATCTCATTATCCTTGATACTTAGGCACCGCTCAAATCTTATTATTGTTATTATTATTTAGGAGACTGCTCTATGTTGCAGGAATAAAAACGAAAGAAGAAGAAAATTACCTACCAGTGCATGATAATGCAGGCAGAGCATCTCAATAATTTACAATTTATGCATGCATGCCGGTCATGTTATTAATATTCAAAAAGCTGAGGACTTCATGATCTATAAATTAGTGTAATCTGAGGATCGCTGAAAGAAGATCAGTCTGGGTAAAACTATCTCAGCATCTTATTAGTTTCCAGTTCCCACTTCCAGCACAATATCTATAAATGCAGAAAGTCTTCGGTATAACTAAAGTAAATAATAGTAAAAGCAAAGGGGTTACTGAAAGCCATACTGTAGAACCAGCCAGATAACCTAGACCATATGATTGGTGCTCTCTCTTTACTAGCTTCTAAATTTAAAATACAATTATGGTTTCAGATTCAGATTCAGTCTTGTAAAACCAAATATAGTCAATGAATCTAAAAAATTATGACAGAAGGACTCCTTATGGAAGGAAATATTTATTAATTGATATATGTTAGTCACGAAAGAGATTAATCAATTAAACTGACAGAACAAGGAACAGACCTGGCCAAGATCCTCCATTATGATAGCTCCATCTAGTATTCTTGGGATCGCAACCAGTTACAATCCGCCATTCGTGACTTTCTATTGCAGGATAAGCTATTTTTAGAGGCATTTCTCCCACCAGCTCCTCCCAGCGAGCTTCAATGAGATCCATGATAGCCATTGCTTGTTCATGAGTTGCAAGAGAAGACAGGATGGCAATGCAATTTCCTAAAGCAAACCATCTAAAATCCATCCTCGCAGGACTAACATTGCCAATAAAGTAGCCTCCACGAGTTGGCATGAAATCAAATACCCAATCTGGGATTGAATCAGAATAACATTAAACTTATTTACAGCAGTGTGAGAATACTCCTCAGTCTTATATCTGTATATGTCATTCAGTTGTTGAAAGTCAAGCCAGAAGTAACTCCGCATGTGATAGCTCAAGGCATGCAAACGTTTCACAATTCTCTCAATACATTCTTTTCCTTCTTCGTCATGTTTCAACAATGAGCACGCGCATCTCAATGCCATGAAAAAAAGTGCTTGAATTTCAATAGGATAACCATAGATGCCCTGCAAATAAATCAAAGCAGTTTGAACATGTAACAAGCTTGAACTTATCAAAACCCTATGAGGAAAACAGAACAACCTAGAAGAGAAATCATACAATACTAAGAATTTTAATTTAGGTGTGCATGCACATGAGTGGTTGAGGGTGAAACAGAAACTAGATTATGATAATTTGGCCTCTACGCGAGTTATTGTTCCAAGGAAGATATCAAAGCACCATGATGTCACAATTACTGGATGGGGTTGATTCAAGCAGAATGGTAGTCAATCCATGGAAAATGTGAATGCTCGTGAGAAAAACTAATCCCACATTCACATAGTATGACAATTGCTCCCTTTTATTTTTTGTAATTAGTATTGATATTACTCTATGGTTGTTTATTTGACTGCATTTGTGTATAAAGAGAAAATACAGAAAGATGGCATCATCCGTTATCTTAAAGCAAAGCTGGAAGGAAACAAAGAGTTAATTTCAAAGTGCTTCTGGACTGCATATGACTTTATTTTACTAAGAAATTGAAAATTGTGATATGATAAGCATGCTACATGATAATACAAACTGGAAAAAAAGAAAAAAAAAAAGATCCAGCTCTACATGATTGCATGCAGTACTTCACATTAAACAAAACAGGATACTTAGACTTTGGGAACTTCCTAGGCTGCAGGAGCTTAATCAACACAAGCTATGTACCCTCCATTAGCATTTAACCAATGCCAAAAGGGTTTAGTGTATGTAACAGGGTGTTTAAATTCCACACATACTCCGCATGAAATCATAAACAGTAAGTTAATTTTAGGTTATGTTTAACTCCTTTATACTAATCGTTGGCAGTTCTCCCAAAAATTCCCCTCCTGTATAAAGAAAGGGGATGGATAGAAACAAGTAGTTGATAGCTAAAACAAAGGTGTGGTGCACCCAGCGACCAGTATCATCAATGTATTATGTGTCTCATGTCTACTACTTGTTGGAGTTTGCTAGTTAGAAAAAAGATTATTTCGAGAAGTAAAGTAAGTGTTCAAAAACAGAGTGATGCTCCAATTTTCTGGAAAATTCATAAGAAAGAAAAACTGGAACTTCCTTTTCAAATGCAATATTTCTCTGTCTAGAAAACTGAAAAACTAGCTTTCCAGTTTTAAAAACTTATACTGAGTTTGGAAAGCATAATTAGAGGTTCTCCACAACTTTTCTCTACAAGTTTTCCATTGTTTTTCAAATTAAGAAAGGACGAGCAATACAATTTTTTTCTTTTATGTACTAGCACTTTTAGCAATGTAAATATGTGCTTTTACATTTTCATATTTAGTTAGTGTAATAAATTTACTTTTCATTATAGATCTAATATAAAGATTTTTTTGAGTTAATAATGTAATTTTTTCATGATAATTTTTAATTTAAATGAAATAAAACTATTATTCTACAATTAGATTATCATGAATACAAAAGATTATCACGAATACAAAATATTAAGATGACTGTTAAAAATTATGGTTTTGACTTTTTTTTTAAAACAGCTGTAATATTTCTAGCGACCACCAACTTGTTTTTCTCAAACTGCGTTCATTATTAAGAAAGGGTAATGAAGATAAAATACAACCTTATTCTCACCCGTCTGGATAATATTTTTCCTTGTTCACTAATATAAAAAAAAATCATCTTCATTCTCAACATATGAATACATTTTCCAATTTTACATTGGAAAAGGAAAACTAAAAAGGAGTAAAAGAAAACTCCATAAGGAAAAAGAAAATATTTTTCTGTTAATGAACAAACCAACTTGGCCTAATGACTACAATTATGAGAGTGAATTACTTGGAATCTCCACCATTCTTTCAGAAGAAATCATATCAGTTGATCTCTAATGGCATTTAGTGTTGAATAATAGTAATTAACAACAACAGTCATATACATACACGTGGGAAGAGATGAAGAAAGATACAAGAGGAAAACTTACCATTCTGCGATCAATCATAGAGCATCCATCGGCGCATAGAAGGGTTGGGAAAGTATCAAACCCCTCTGACAAGCACAACATCAATATGAGCCTCATTCCTTTCTGGCACTCTGGAGTTTCTGCTAGAGATAAATCTCCAGTAGACTTCGTATATGCTCGGAGCAGAATAATCCACCAAAAACCAGAGTCCACTGGAGCAACTCTTCCAATTGCGCTCTCACCAAAATCTGCAACCAGAGAGTCTGTTTTTCGAATAGGATCGTGAAGAACTTTAAAGCTGGCTGGCATTGCCCCTTCACCAAGCTTGAATCGATCTATTCTCTTTTCCCATCCTTGGAGATGTAGTGTCTTCAGAAGGAATTGCTTGACTATTTCAGGCTCACCATTCATCAGAAAAGCTAGGGCACTGGGTACAAAATCTCGTACAAAAACCTGGACAAAAAGACCTCAAGAAAATCATATAAATAATACTAAATTCATACCCCAGACAAATGCTTAAGATCACATTGCAACTACCTTCTATTTGGAGAAGTCAAAAGAACGAGCTTTATGAAATTTCCAATGCATCATTTTCCAAAAACTAATGGCTCTTATCAGAAGATTTAGTTTTCAATTTATCACATGATCAAACTCTTGCCTTACTTTACTCTGTACTTCCTCCTAAGGCATTCTTCAAATATTATCAGCTCATATGTTTAATAAATTTACATGCAGAGCAAATAAAAGTGGACCATTTCCCTAACTTCGAACATAATTTACAATTTCATGACATCCTTAGTATCATTGATTCCCGACCCCTAATGGGATCACCATCATCAGCTCAAAGAATTTATTTATGCTTATTGCATGCTTAGTAAAGAGCCTCCTCTCTTTGTGATGCATAAAATTAGAAAGATACAGTAACACCATATAAAGGCAATCTATCAAGTCGCATAACATATTAACCATAGAAACAAATTAAACCAATTAGAAACATCCCAATGTCTGATGCTCCATTAATGAAACAGAAAACCAACAAAACCATAAAACCGTAAGGAGAATTTCACATTTGATAAAAAAGAATTACCTGATCATAGTTCAAGACCTCCTCTGAGGCATGGTCATAGGCGGCAATAGTACCAACCGGTTGGCCTCTGAAGAAAACTAAAGACCGCCGTAGAGCCTCCCATGCATCAACCACCATTGGGTGAGGCTCAAACGAGTTGCGAGCAGATGAGGCTGGCGTGTTAAACCCGGACCTTCCGCCAGGTGAATGCGTGGTCTCAAAGTTATCAATTCCTCTTGCAAACCCAATCGATAGCTCGCTAAGAGACCTCTCATCAAATGATCTCTGCCTCTCTATGTTCAACTTTGGCTTGTCAAGGAGGCGAGAGAAATCAAAATCATCCATTTCGGATATTGAACACACTGAGCTCACATTCATAAGCCCCACCGTTTCTTTAGTCCCATCCATTTGTTTTTCTCTTTCAATACTTGATTGCTACAGAAAATGCTTTGTTTCTATCACCAAATGCAACACAAGAATCACCAGCTTTAGAACATAGACATTCAACAGCCAACATACAAAGATATTATTTAACAATCACACTTAAATATCATCAACAGGAAAGTAAAAACCAGAAATAAAAACTTGGAAAGCTCAAAATAGAAAATGCAACATGCTATAAACTCTATTTATAAGAAAAATTTAACCTCTTATCCATTTAAATATACTCCAATAATTAACACTTATCCCTATTTAGCTTTATAGACATTGAATGGGCTATTTAGCATTATAGACATTGAATGGGCTAAGAGGGAGAAGAAGAAATTGGGGAGTTGTAAAACTTAACCAGTTCTCTTATGTCTCACCTAACTTCATGGGATTTAAAACAAAAAAGAAAACAATTGAAAAACTAAACCATTAAAGACCAATTTAAACAATACAGAAAGCAACAAGGCATAAAAAAATGGAAAACAAAAGTACCTTTTTTGTAATTTTACACAAAACACATACATTACACTTAAATTTCAATTACATTTTCCATTAAAATACGAAAACTTGAAAACCAACGGCAGGAGATCAAGATCCACAAAATATCAAAATAACAGAAGACAAAGACTTTTACTATCTTAAAATAAAAGACCACTTCATGTAAAAATGTAAACAAAAAAAAAGTCAAGATTGAGAGTTTCAACAAAGAAGGCAACAAAATTGAGAGACAAAAACCCAGATCTAAAAACCTTCAAACAAATGCTTCTCTTTAATATCTACACAGAAAAAGAGACAAACAAAGAAAGAAGGAATGATTCGAAGAAGAGAAAAACCTTCGCAATGAGAAAATGACTGGTGGGAAATCTCGCCGGCGACGGCAATTTCACCGGCAAACGGTCGATCAAGGGAGAAAGAAAAGGAGAAGACACGAGTAGGATAGAGAAAGAGAGAGTTGAAAGAATGAAAAATAGAGCTTGCCTGTAAGAGCTCATATTTATAGCTAGAGAGGGGGGGGGAGACGGGGACCTCCAAGGTTTCTCTGTAAGAAAACAGACCGGTTACAGCCGGTTAACAGTGCACGAGGATAAATAGATGCTGATTTGATGGTCTGACGTGGACAACACGACAGCACTTAGTTTTTTGTCCTGATTTTCATGAGGAAGTCTTGGATTTCCACTGGCAACTTGTTTTATCGGTTTCTGTGCGGGGATGTTGTTCATCGGTGCCAAATGATAAGTGTCTGGCAAGTGTGCTGTAGATTTTTTTTTAAAAAAAAATATTTTTTATATAAAATGTTAAAATAATTTAAAAAATTAAAATTAAAATGAAGTTAAAGATTTTTTAAATGTTCGGCTCAACCATGATCTAAAACATCTCGTGGAATTAATTTAATATTAATAAAGTATTTAGAAATGCAGTCGAAATCTTGTTTTTCAAATTTTATTTCAATTTTTTTATATTTTTTATATTATTTTAATATATTATTATTACAAATAATTTTTAAAAAATAAAAATTAAGAACACGTTTAAAATCATATTTTATAAAAATTTATTTTTAAAAAAATTTATTTTATATATTTTCATAATATGTTAATATTAAAATTAATTTTTAAAAATAAAAATATTATTTTAATATATTTCTAAATAAAATATTAAGTGTTATCTGACTTGTAAACGCCACTAATCTGGAATCTGGATTGGTTGATTAAAGAAAGTATAATAAATTTGGTGATGGCTGTAGTGAGTTGTGACAGATTGAATTAACCTACGTGTCCATTTCCAGTTTTTTAACTGTCTTGATTGAATTAACCTACGTGTCCATTTCCACTTTTTAACTGTCTTTGATTGTTCAGTTGCAACTTGTTCCTGTCAATTTTTTTATTTTAAAATTGTTGATAAAAAAATTAAAATGTTTTTTATTTTTTATTTTAATTTAATATTTTTTTAATATTTTCACATCATTTTAATTTATTAATATGAAAAGTAATTTTTTAAAAAAATATTAAATTTAATATATTTTTAATAAACAATAATTTAAAAAATAATTACAGTCATACTCTCAAATATATATTAATATATTTGGAATTGTATTAATTGTGATTTAAAAAAATTTATTTAATAATATTTTTAAATAATATTTTTAATTTAACATATAAAAATAATCTAAAAACAATTAAAAAATAATAAAATAAAAGTTTAAAAAATACATCTATCTTTGTTTCAAATATAACCTAAACCCAGCCACCTTGATTAGATGGATTTAAAAATTCTAAATCAAAAGTTTAAATTTTCAGTTAAACTAAGCATTGGTTTATACCATTTTTATAATTCAAATTTTTATAAGTTAATTTTTGAATGAGCTATACTTGTCATTACTTTATCTTATAAAATCATTTTTGAAATCGCTAGAGTTTAATGGTTTTTTTTTGTATTTATTATATAAAAAAGTTATTAAATAAGTTTTAATGGATAATATTATTTTTTAAATGTGAAATTAGAATTTTAATATAGATATTCAAATCCATGATATTTAATAATTTTTTATATCCAATTTAATTTGTTAAATTTTAAATTGGAGTCTTAACATAGATAGGTTAGGTCTCATTTGTTTTTGTAGTTGAAAAATATTTTTATAAAAATTTAAATATTTTTATTTTAAATTATTATTTTTTATTTTTTATTTTAATGTGCTACTATTTAAAATAAATTCTTTAAAAAAATAAATATTTTAAATATATTTATAAAAAAATACTTTAAAAAACAGCTATAACTGCATACTATATTTGAATGGATGTATTTATAACATTTGACGTCTTTAGAAAGGAGTGAACATTGAAGTGCAATTCATTAAATAAATCTATAAAAAATAACTGGGATACAGGTGAAAAGTTGACTTAATATATTTATAAAATTTGAGATTTTTTTTAAATGAACATGAATATCAATTGAAACACAATTCATTGAATTATTCTTAAAAAAAAAGTTTCAATATGGGTAAAAAATTTACCTAAAAATATCTTGATCTAAAAAAAACAGAAAAGAGGTATAATATAAGTTAGGTTAACAGTGATTGATTTGGATCAAAATCTTAGCACACTGGAAAACCCATAAGATCTTATTTGTCTAATTTGAAGCTGTAAATATTTCATTAATGTGGCTCATACATGAGATTATGTTTGGGAATATAGTTATAGTTATTTTTTAAAATATGTTTTATGTTGAAATGTAGTAAAATAATATTTTTTTATTTTTTAAAAATTATTTTTAAAATTAATATATCAAAATAATTTAAAATATATAAAAATTAAATTTTATAAAAATATAATTTACATTACATTTCTATGTACTTTCTAGATCAATATATACGGACCTCCAAAATAGATATGGCATTTTAATGCCCATCCAAATATGTATATGATACTTTTTATACACAGTTGGGTTTGGTATGAATAGTAAAGACAAAAGTTAGGTTTCAGGTGGATATTGAATTTGCTCTACTAGACCAAAAACTTGATACAAATCTTATTTATGCTCATAAACTTGATGAAAATTATAATCATGTCATTAGTTAGATTAGTTAGATACGTCGTATATCATCGTTTATATTATATTTCCTGTTAAATTAATTTTTTAAAAAAAATTATAAATTTTCTAATAAAAACAAATAAATTATATAAAATTTAACTCGATGTAAATCATATAAATAATTAAAAAAACAATAATAAAAAAACAATATTTGTAAAATCAAATATCAATATATAGGATATTTTATTAAGATTATGATGGTTCCATAAAAAATAAAATAAAATAAATTAAGAACATCAATTTAAAATAAACTAAGTGAGGAATGATGATTTAAAAAAAAATAGTTAAATAAAAAAAACTAATATTTAAATGATAAAATTAAAAAATAAATTATATAACAAAAACACTAAAATATCTATAAAAAAACCTAGATAAGTGGATTTAGGTGGCTTACCATGCCTTAGCCTTTATTATTTTATTTTTTTCTATGAAAAAATAAGTTGTCATTTATTGTATGAAGATTTCAAGGATTAAATGGTAGCGTGAAAGTTGAGGTAAATGTGTTTTATAAATTAAAAAAAATATTGAGGTCAAATCTCCTCTCTCATGTAATTTGAAGGTTAAATAACTTCTTATTAAAACATTTTTCATCAAATAAAACATATCAATATTAAAATAAATTATTTTAGCAGTTGGAATTAGTGTTAGATAATATTTTTTTATTATTATAATTTAATGATTCTTTCTCTTGTTTATCTCAAACAAGAAATAAAAATAAAAAAATAAAATTTTAAATCAAAAGTAAGTTTTTGAAAAATCAAAGAGAGTAAAAATGGGTCAATTGGAGGATAAAAGTTAACCATTAAGTTAATTTCAAAACAATCAAATGGTTTCTTTGTATTTTTTAATTTAATTTTTTATCTTTAAATTTTATCCTAACTTAATAAACTAAGAAGCGATTAATTTTTAATTTGACCATAAAAAAGCCGATCCAAAAGGAAAAGAAGAAGAGGAAAGATTAAATATATAAAATAAATAAATAAAATAAAATAAAAACCTTACTTGAATCTACATTGAATTATAAGATGGTGCGCGGTTCGTAGCTATCTAGCGTTTTCACCTCGCAAGCTTAGTTTTTTTTTTTTTTTTTGTAATGTATAATTTATGCCAAGCAAAAAGGAAAGCAAATTCTAACTTTCCGTAAGCATAAAAGTAGTTTGTCATCTTTGCTTTTAATCCGCAGTGCAATTTTTAAGGAAAATAAAATCAATGTGATATGATGATGAAGAAATAAAAGTTCATAGAGTTGCTATTAAAAACAAAAAACGTGTATGAGAATATAATAATAGTTATTTTTTAAAATAATTTTTTTATTTTAAAAACTTATTTGTAAAATTAACATATAAAAATAAAATAATTTTTTTATTTTAAAAAATTATTTGTAAAATTAACATATAAAAATGATATCAAAACATTAAAAAAATATTAATTTAAAATAAAAAATTATTTTAAACATAAAAATAAATAGTTCTAAAATCATTTTGCTAGGAATCACAAATAATATTTGATGAATTAAGAATTGTAATTATATTTAACTTTTTAATAATTTATTTCATGTTTTTATTTTTTAAAATCCCATCACTTTTTAAAGGATTGAAGTGACATGTGATAGAATGGAGGTCTAGAAATGAAAATATTAAAGGATTGGAGAATTGCATGGAGATAATCCATAGCTACATATATTAAAGGATTGGACAAGTACTGATATTCTTGTCTCGGCAAAAGCTTATGTAATTAACAAGATCTACAACAGTAAATTATACTAGTCTTTGTACCAATGTAAAATAAATAAATAACTTAGAAACGAAGACTTACACTCCAACAAAAATAAATAAATTATAGCTAAAATTGATTGGAACTTACTTTTTCATGTGCAAGCCAAAACTGCATTTACATGTTTCAAGCAAAGTTGTCAATTTATTTTATTTTATTTAAAATGACTGAAATATTTTATATAAATTTAAAAAACAGAATAAAATGGAATAATTTTTATCTCATTTTAAATCTTAGTTTGTTTTGAAAGTTTTGGCTAAATTTTAGCTAAAATATTCCGGTTTTATTTTATATATTCCGTTTCAGTCTTAAAAAGTCATTAAATCAAATTGAATTTAGTTCAATTTAATTAATTAAACCATCAAAGTATAAAAAATATATTTTTTATTATTATTTTAAATAACAATGATGTTAATAATATTATTAAAAATTATTATTATTATTATTATTATTAACAATGATATTAATTTTTAAAAATTAGATTTATCAATGATATATATGATTTATATTCATATTGTTTTTTTTTATATTTATATATTTTAATAATTTCATAAAAATAAAATATGTTTTAGATCCTATTAGTCTTGATAATATTGACTTAACTTTAT